AAGACTTTCCAACCACTGGCCTGTGATCTTCCTGCATTTGGCATCATTGCATGTGTTGTGTGAGTCTGAAGAGGAAATTATAGACTGGTATTGGACAAAGGGGCTAATATCGGACTTATGAACTTGATCTGGACTGGGCTGGGATGTTTTCTCAATATACGATGGCTCTTCTATATAAAGTTCTTTCTTATGCACAGATGAGTGTCTATGAATTTGTTTCTCTAATCCACCCAGACTAACACGGCATCTAACAACCAAAAAGGAGTCCTGATGGTGCAACATTGAAGTACTCAGCTACTAACTGAAAGGTTGGTGGTTCAAACCTACCCAGCAGCTCCAGAGAGAAAGACTGGATTCATGATCCAGTCTTATGAAGATTACAGCCAGGAAAATGCAATGGGGTAGTTTGACTCTGTTCCGTGGGTTGTTGGGAGTTAAAAGTTCGCTTGATGGCACCCACCACTAACATTGGATCTTTGATAAAAAGCCTCTCGGACAGATTTGCCTGAACTATAAATACCAATATGTAGTGGAAACAAGCACGAGCTTACAAATGACTTGAAGTCCAGCCTCCGCCTTCCTGGACTTTCACTTTGTCATTTGTAACGTGAAGGGACCGGGCCAGAGACACAGCTCAGGACCTTCTACACATAAAAAGCCAACAACTATAATAAGGTCCACAAACTTAAATTTAGTCTCGATACAAAACACTTGCTGCTGATAAGAAAAGTTCCAAAGACACCTCTTTTCCATAAAATGGTACTCAGCGAGGAGAGCAAAGCCCAGAAGCACAGCATCTCTGTGTCCTGTTACCAAGGCAACCTAGCCCAACTCCATCAAAATGATGACGCAAAAGACTGGCACCGGCACGCATCATCTGGCTAAATAAAGAGGCTCGAGGACTTGCAGGAGCTGCCAGCTTGGGCGCACTTCACCTGGCTGCTGGCCTCCCGGAAGAGTGCCGTACTTGAACAGAGCTCTGAAAACACTGTTTACACTGACTGGTAAGAGGCATCACCGGGTAAGAACCTGAATGTTCAATGAGGTTTCAAGTTTTCACTTTGGTTTTGGAAGACCTGGTCTCGCCGCACCACCTGCCTCCACCACCACTGTTTTAGCCAGATGAGGAAATGGGAGCCTAGAGAGGGAAAAGTGACTTGCCCAAGGCTACATCACAGGACACACAAGACCGAGGGCCAATTCCAAACTGTTAGCATAGGGGCTTCCCCAGCCCATACAGGTGGCTTTGGTAGAAGAGAGAGACCAGCTTATAATGTTAGAAGGAGACACCGTCAGCACTAGCTAAGCTCCAATCACGTGTAAAAGAGAAGTAGACGCGGGGGGTCGCAGGGAGGGGTCTGAGGCTCCTACTCTGGATAAAGGGGATACTGGAGGCCCTGGCAGGCCGGCCAATTGCATTAATGGGGAGACAAACACACCACGTAAAGAAGGCTGCTGCAATCATCATCACCAGTACTCAACTTCCAAATCACTTAAACGTCTTTTTCTAAATTTATGTTTGTGCTAAACTAATCTATTAGTGGCTGAATATAAAAACCAGTCACTAAGCGGTAAGATACCAAACAAGTTTTCTAACACCTCGGCATCTTGCTATTTCTCATCTGTAAAAGGTGTCATTCTGAGAGCCATAGTTAGCACGCACGTACACCGCCTGGCATGATGCTTGGGACCCACCGAGCATCTGGTGCATCCACACCACGGATGAAATGGGGCTGAAGAACATTTTCACTCTCGGCCACACTTTCGCAGATTCATATGCGTCAGTGTGCAAACTTGCACTTTTAAACGAGACAGAAATCAAACTATGAGACGGGCATCTGGTGGGCGCCTAGAGCGCACAAGCCCATTGTATTTGGTATTTTTACTATTATTGTTTTATTTAATCTGCAACCAAAACCACTGTTTGAAGTTTTTTTCAACCCTGTTTTTGAGCAGAAGAAGCAGAGGCCACGAAAGGTGCCATAGAAACAGGAAATGTAAACTTCACTCAAATTAAAACCCCTCCACCAGGCTGCTGACGATTTCCTCAGGCCTGGGAGGTGGGGCCAAGCCTCTAACCGCCCTCAAAGGGTAACCGCCCATCTTCTTGAACTGAACACTACAAAAGGAGGGTTTATCTAGAACCTACGCAGGTGCACTAAGTTCATAATTCACTCTAGGAGGGAAAAGACACACCATTGCCTTCTGTGAAATGCAGTATTCCTTTGTGAGAAATTCTGCCAGATTACAACTTCCACAGATAGATCTTGGAAGCCTGGTGACGGCTCCTGGCAAATGAGCGATACTGCTGGAGACAAGAGCTGCCCCAAGCATGAAGGAGGGAGGGAGGGAGGAGAGGAGGGAGGGAGCGTGGGACTTACGCTTATGTCAAGACTACAAAGGCTGATGGCATCTTCATCTTGGGTACTCTGCTTCCGTTTGCGCTGCAAAACAAACAATGAAATAAAGTTCAAATGTAAATAGGGATTATGGCTTTGACTAAAGAAAGAAAAAGCAATCATACAGCATAAGCAACCCTTATCATTTTCGCCATGCTACCCCAAACCAAGCTACGTGAATGAGCATTTCTGGAAAGATCTGGGAAGTGACAGGAAACTGTAAAGCTCAGGGATACTGGAAGGTGCTCCCACACTCATTCGTGCTGCTCGGTCCCTTTCTTTACTGCTGCTGCCTGCCGACCCCAAGGGCCTAGAAGCGAAGATACGAGTTCAGATTCTGCCTAGCCTGGAGAGAGACTCCTTCAAGATTTTAATTTTAATTCACTTAGAGCTGTCCTCTTTTTAGAGCTCCTTTGTACTTAGATAAATCTAATTTGTTTTAGACCTCTGGTCCTGATGAAATCATAGAACTAGAAGGCTGGAAAGAACATTAGACATCTTTTTCTTTAAGTTTTCTGTCTCACAGTCATAGAAACAGACTCAGAAAAGTCATTGCTTTAACTGAAGGTACCGACATTGGAAATGAATTTCTGACAAGCGAAGTTTGACCTTAGATTTCAAAAGAGTCACATTTACATGGGGAAAAAATGTTTCTCTTTATAAGATGGAAAGAAACTCCATGTACCCCCACAATAAACTCATCAAAAGATAATGTTCAAAAATAAAGAAAAAAGATAAAGTTCACCTTTCTTTTGTATCCCCAACTCAACCTAATCTCCTGCTGCTACCTGACAGAAAGCTGCCAGTGGACCAGAAGCACAGGCACGAGGTTACAGTAGAGCCCCAACACCTGGCATCTTCACCCCAAGAGAAGTCCATCTCTTCTTCCTCTATCAGATCCTGCACCGGGAGCTGGGACAACGGTGCACACCGGGATGCCATCAGAACTGTCCTTTCCTGCCCGGTGAGTATAAGTAGTCCATGCTTTCTTCACTTCAAATGAGCACCGGCATCTACCAGGCCCTGTGTTTGCTCTTGGGAACACGAAGATCAGCAAGGCACTAATCCTCCTGGTTAGGAACCCACACTCAGGGATGAAGAATGGGCCTTGAGACAGTTCACTGTGATGCAGGAAGGTCCCTGCAGCCATGGAGCCAAAGGTCCTAGGGCTAGTGCTGTCCTTTTCTCAACTCAAAAGTGGACAAGGTGATGTTTGTTTCTATTCTCAAAGTGGGAGGAGTTAATACAGCACAGTGCCTTTTAGATTGGTGGACTGCATGCCTGGCACACAGCAAGTGCTTAAAACCAGGGCTGTAAAAGCTCGGCCATCGACCTGATTATGACTCATTGTGAACTGGAAGGACAGAGCAGACCTTGGGGACAGAGTAGGTCCCCAAGACTAAACCTTCACGGGGAGAGAAAGTCTCATCTTTCTCCTGGGGAATGGCTGGTGGGCTCGAACTGCTGACTTTGTGGTTAGCAGCCAAACGTGTAAGCTACGAAGCCACCAGGGCTCCTAGCTGGAAAACACAACACTAGAGTAATTAGTTGGGCTGCAGTCGTGTCTGGGGAGTCTTCTCAAAGGAAGGGGCATTGGAAAAGTCTGAAGGATAAACACGTGTTTGCCAAGCAGAAATGGGGGTGCTTTTCTGTGTCACTCCACGTGAGCAGTGGTACATTCTGCAGCAGAATCACCTGAGGAATAATTCAAAATGCCGATGCCAGTAGCCAGCCTGAGAGAGGCAAAAATCGACCCTAGAGGGTAGTACCCGAGGGACTTTGCACCTGAACAAGCTCGCCTTGATTTTTCCAGATAGCGATAGAGAGGGCCACCTGCTCCGCTCAGAGGCTGTGAAGGTGGGCATGTTGATGGCCACTCCAAACGGCCACTTTTCAGGATACCCCGTGTCTCCCTAGGATCTTGACCCTGGCAATTCATCACCCAAATACAATGGAAAATGGCACTCTGGTGCCCCAGAGAACAGGTCACTGGCTTATAAGGATTTGTACGGTGACCTTTGGAGGCAAGGTATGGCAAGGGCTAAGAAAAGAACCCTTGAGTGCTGCAAATGAGCAAGAGGTCATGTGCTAGACATAACGGTTGGCAGTCCCAGGAGCATCTTGGAAGAAAGGCCTGACAATCTACTGAGAAACCAGCAATCCTATAGAGCACAGCTCTGCCAACACAGCTGCCAACTCAACTGTAACTGGTTACAAGTCCTGGCAAGAGAGAGAGTGCCCGTTTTGTGTGTAAGTACACTGCAGTTGACACACATAAGCCACTTAAAGCCAGTGTGGCAAATGACTGTTTCTCTTGTGTTCCGGACGCTTCCGGATGGAGAAGGACTGTATTGCATAGCATATGAGAGAAGGCTACGGTCATTTAGCAATGTGTGCAGACAGGTAGGCATGGAGAGTGGCTGTGTCGGCCCCGGGCAGCCCATATTGTCGCAGAGTTCTGCCTCTCTTGCCTCGAGAGGGTTTCAGATTACATGTGAGATCCTGGGGAGAGACATGTGGAGACTGAGGTCCTGCAGATGACGTGACATTGTGTAAAGTTCCTAGAAGACGCGTAGGGTCTCTAGAACAAGACCCGGCATGTTGTTGCTCTTGTTGGGTGCCACTGAGTCAGTTCTGACCCACAGAGACCTGGTGCACAACAGAACAAAACACCGCCCGGCCCTGTGCCGCCCTCGCCGTTGTTCCTAAGCTTGAGCCCAATGCTGCCGCCACTGTGTCACTCCACCTCACTGAGGGCCCTGCTCTCTTTTGCTGCCCCTCTGTTTTACCAAGGATGATGTCCTTCTCCAGGGATTGGTCTCTCCTGACAAGCCCAAAGCACGCGAGAGGAAGTGCCTTAGCACATGGTGATCTTTGCCTCTAAGGAACATTCTGGCCACATTTCTTCCAAGACGGGAATATTTGTCCTCTTGTCAGTCCACGGTACTTTCAGCAGTCTTCATCATCATTCAAATGTATGGATTCTTTTTTGGGCTTCCTTAGTCAATGTCCAACCTTCACATGCATAGCAGGAACATAATATATGGTAGCCCCTGTTACGTGCACCCAAATTGGAGGTGACCCAGATGTGTGCTGCTACCTGGATTGTCAGATTACGGAATCCTGTGGCATTCCAATTCCATTCCTAGGACTTAGTGACAGTGTCAATATGAGATGTTGAATAGTAGTCTGTTATCCCTGGAACAACCACTCATCTGTCCGTTTGTCCTACGGTGATGGCTTGCATGCAGCTGTAATCCTGAAAGCTACGCCACTGGTCTTTCATGGTGGACAGCTGACCTTCCGGTCTAAAACACACTAGAAAGAAAGGCCTGGTGTTTCACCTCGAGGAGTTAGCCTATGAAAACTGTAAGACTCACAATAGAAAACGATCTGATATCGTGCTAGAATTGATCGGAAGGCACCCCAATACACAAGAGCCACAGGGAGGGGGTTAGCATGATCGTGACAAGGCACAGTACCAGGTGCGGCCTTGATGGCAACAGGCAGCAGCCCCCAAAGGCCCACGCTGGGAAGAGAGAGGGAATAACAGGAAAGGCATTTTTCTCACCGGCATGCAGCTCTCTCCAGACCCCTCATCACGTCCCAGCATCACCTGGGAGCTTGCCCTCACCTAACTTAATTCCTGCAATGCACTTTTCCACCCCTGTGTGTCAAATCCAAAAGACAAATGTCCTCTCATTCCCCTTTTAATTAAACCAGGGCCAGTTAATCTGAGCTAGAATGATCTCCTTAAGAAGCCCACATGTTTCACAAAATAAGAGCTGGGTGACTTGTCAGAGCAGGTTTTCTTTCTTGTTTTTAAATTTTCAATACACAGATGGGAACTGACCCCTGCCTGCCACAAAGAACGAGCCTGAAGCACAGACTTTGGGCTCCGCACAAACACGTCACTGTGCCCAGTACACATCCATCCATCCATCCACTCGGTATGTGCAGAGCCCTGTGTTGGTACCTGCAAATGTTCCTGAATGAGGCAGGTCCGCTCCCTGCCCACTAACGGGGCAAGTGAGAAAACAAATACAGTTACAGATTGTGGTCTATGCTGTAAGGAGTCAGAGGCAGCGCTGAGACTAGCGGGAGAAGGTCATCTTAGAGCTCGTATGCTTTAGCACCCACAAAGTGGTATTTCTTAAGTGTTCGAGAAACTTGTCCTTTTCAACAATTGCCCAACTCCAGGAGGGACAGAAGAAAGGCAGTAGAGGAATCAAGTCCCTCAGCCAGGTGGGCTGGTCAGCCCTGGAAATAAAGGGCGTGCAGGTGAGACACTGCGCATCCCACTCAAGAAACAGAAACTGCACGTATCCCCAAATGGCAGGAAGCAAAGCTCATGGCAACAATGAAAAGACCGGTTAGTTTATGAGAGCGATCTGTACCTGGAAACGACAGGTGAGCATCCCAGACAGCAGAAAGGAGCGGCTGCTGCTGCCTGCACTGATCTCGACTTTCAACACTGCAGTCAAGAATGAAAATCATCGACTGACAGTAATGGCACCTACCACCTATGAGCCCCAGTAACTGTGGGTTAGTCATGCGATTGCTAACCACGAGTTCAAACCCCAATCAGCCATGCTACAGGAGAAAGATGAAGCTGGCTGTTCCTGTTAATGACTTAGTCTCAGAAACCCTAGAGAGCACTGGTTCTCAACCTTCCTAATGCCGCGACCCT